CAAACTGGTCCAAGTAAGGACAAAAAACCCGATTCATCAAATCCATGAATACTGCGGGTGCATTGGTCAGCCCAAACGGCATGACGAGAAACTCGAAAGACCCATATCGAGTCAAGAAAGCGGTCTTGGGAATATCCATCTCCCAAACTCACAACTGATGATAACCGGAGCGAAGATCTATCTTCGAGAAACACTACGCTCCCTGCAACTGATCGAACAAGTCATCGATCCTCGGTAATGAGTACCGGTTACGGATAGTGACCTTGTTCAACTTGCGATAATCTATACATAATCGCATACTCCCGTCCTTCTTCTTCACAAAGAGGACCGGTGCTCCCCACAGAGAATGACTCCGTCGAATGAAGCCCTGAGACAACAACTCATCGATCTGGATCTGTAGCTCCCTCATCTCAGCAGGCGCCATACGGTAAGGAGCTCGGGAAATCGGTGCGGTGCCTGGCTGCAACTCTATGCAAAACTCGACCTCTCTCACTGGAGGTAGTCCTGGTATGTCTTGGAAGACATCCTGGTAATCTGAGACTACTCGCATCTCGCTCAAATCTGTGCTCTGATCCTAAAATATCGTCTCCTCTACATACGCCAGAAATGACTCCGCAAACTGGTTGCCTCTGGAGGTGGCTACTACTAACTCTGATCCATCATATGCTCTCAAACTGACCGTTTTCGCAAAATAGTCGATACTCACATGGTAGGAAGATAGCCAATCCATACCAAGAATCACATCAAATTCAAACATATTCAACACGATCAAATCAATCGTGAACTCAGAATCGTCCAAGCTGACGATGCATCTCCTACAAACACTCTCTAACAGAGACATCTCTCCCAATGGAGTAGATACAGATAAAGGGAAATCTAACGGCTGAGCTACAAGCCGAAGTCTAGTCGAAAAATCATAGGAGATAAAAGAATGTGAAGCGCCAGAATAAAAAAGAATACGTGTGTTCGCGGGAAAAGTTGGTGTTTTCTTCATTACCGATTCCATTGCACTCAGTTAACAACTTTATGCGTTACACAAGAGATCCGGTCTTTTTTATTAAGATCCGGCTTACAATTGAAAATCTAAAATAAAACAAGAATATCAAAATTACACTTCATCTACTTTTACCGAAAAATCACCAAGATCCTGTTATCCGGTCTCTGCTTCTGTGAGGTTAGTTTTGCCTGCGCCGGGGTTGCACTTGCCACTTACCGTTGGACCAACGCTGTGATCTGGGATCCAAGCAGATACTTACGATGTATACGCCGGCTATTTTATCCCACCAAGGATAATACCGGGAGGGCATCGGTTTCACCAAGGAAACGAACCGCTCGATATCTCGGATCTAAGAAACCAAGCTTTAGCATCCGGAGTGTTGACGACGTAATGATCTGAGCGATTAGGACTCTCTCGAAACTTCCGCTTTTTTGCGTTGCGGCGTGCTCGCTAATAGAATCAAATCCGGGTCTCCCAAGTCTTCTCAATGCCTATCAGATCTCCCGACGTTGGACGGTGACCAATCGGCGAGTTTCGCGCTCCTCTCAGAAGTTTCAGGAAGAAGTCTTCCAAAGTCGATGACGAGTACCAGGCCTATTTTATAGGCCTCTCAGAAACTGTGCGTTTGCACAGTTCTGAGCCTAGCCAACCCCTAGGGTGGCTCTGCCATAGCCGACGCCACGCCAGGGGTGGCTCGGCGTTGCGAGCCACCCTGGGGGGGTCGGCCACCGAGCCACCCTAGGTGGCCTCGGCTTGGGCGAGCCACCTTTAGGGTGGTTCGGTTCTGGGCGAGTTCCCCCAGGTGCAGACTGGTTTGTCGTTTTCCGTCTGTTTCCGGTGCGTTATCGTCCGTTGTTCGCGACAATCTTTCTGTTGATTTGCTTGACTTGATTCCGTATTCCGCACTATGTAAAACTTCAGTCGGTGTTTCGAGTTCACAAATGCCACTTCTGTTGAAGACGCCGTCGGACTCCGCGACGCAACCGTCACTAACGGTTGTTCACATGCCAGTTCGTTAGCTTTGTCTAGTGTGCCTCTCTCTAGCTTCGTTTCGTGGGGCCCCCGGTCCGGCGTTGAGCGACCGCTTCCGCTCGACTTGCGGCTCGAATCATGCCGCGTCGGCGGGCGAGAGGTGCTCGTCACAGCGCGCGGGCATCTACTACAGCCCAGTTTTATACGCCTAGCAGTCATACCCCCTCCAAAGCCTTTTCAGCCATCGTTCTTTTGATAGAAGGAGTCCCTGGAATGCTGACTTGATCATGATTGCCCCACCCTTTTGTCACGGGACAGTCTCGCTGAAACGGGAGCCTAGTTGAAATGCTTTTGCTTCTGTATTCCCTCATCCTAATCGGGCACTTCAGTGCTTTGTAGAATCGCCTGAGGGTTCCGGTGCTGCATTTACTTGCCTGACCCTGTATGGAATGTTGAACTTTGAAGTTCGGATTCCTGATCTTTTTCATCTTTAACTCGCTGTTGGTTTGGTATCGGACGTTGCAACTAACGCTCGATTGTCGGCTGTTCGATTCCTTTCACTTGTGACACGTTGTCCGACTCGTGTTATGATTATCCCTTAAAGAATATTTTTAGAAAAAATATTCTCCAGGAACTGTCTAACACAATATGGAAAGTAGTTTTTACATCGGTATACCTTCATTGGAATATTTCTGTCCTCACAATATGATCAGAACCGGTCCAAAGAATGTCTCAAAAAAAGCATATTTGGATGCTCAAATCTTTCTAGACCCTTCTCAATATGTGGGAGAGGGGTTAACTAGGTGATGGGATCGAACCATTGATTGATCTGAATTCGTTTCGATCGCTTAATTTTTAAGCTCCAATTTGGAGATTCTGGTTCGAATTTGGTTCAAACTGGTTTCGAAATTGCACCCAACTGGTCCAATCTACTCGAATCTGTTCATCGGCTATTTCTGGCTCACTCTGGTCTGGTCCTAGTCTCTTCATCGCCCCTCGGATATGATGTCGGTGCTTCCCGTCGCTCCGAACGCCACAGGACCATTCTGTTCCTCTGCTTACAGGTTGCTTTGAGAATTGGCAGTGGAGGGCCGCGGATTTTTCTGATGGTCAGGACAGCAGTTGCACGTCCGATAATCGTGTCTGGGCATTCTCTACTTGTTTTCGCAGTTCTCCGGTCGATATGGTGAATGCCGCTTTGATAAGATGATGACCCGAGGCCCTAGAGGAGCTACCCGGACTTACTTCTAGACTACTCGCGCTTGCTTCAATGGTAGTGAATATTACGGGCCCGGGCTATCCTGACTTTCCGAGGTGAGGCGATTCAGTGCTTCATCGACACCATATTCCCGAGCTCGTGCCGATTCGACTCGCCAGGTTTTGCGCTAATGACCAGCTTTTACATTGGCAATCCTCGTCAGCAGCATTCGTACTCATAGTTTGTGATAGACGGTTCTCCCGCTCTGGTTGTTGACCGTTGACTGGCCCCGTCTTACTGGTTTTAGATTTAGTCCTCGCGGGCCGACGTGCCTGACCGCAGGATTAACCTTACTATCTTGAGCTGCATAAAATGGTCAAGCATGCCAACAGTATATCCCTGAACTGTCCTGCGTTATTGGGGGG